TTTTGTTACCCTTTGCATTATTTTTTTTCAATATTTACTTCTACTGAAACATCTTTAACTTTTATTTTTCACCATTTTTAACCTCAACATTTTGTGAATTTTGCTGTCTAATGTGCAAAGAAAAGTTGTCACCGTTAGAATTAGCAGAGGTGATCTGTCTCCTACCAAATTGAGCAACAACTGGCCCGACACAATCAATAAACAAACCCTAATAAAGCATATGGTAAATCAGTATCAATTATAAAAATCTTAGCTGAGTTAACAATTTCGCCAATCTTAAGGGGAAACTCAGAAATTCTGTTAAGTGTTAATTGTCCTTTCGTTGGGGTAACATTCAATTTTTCACATTTTTTAATAAGAATATTTAATTTTGACACAATATCTTTTGGTATTATGTTCAATGCTGACACGGTATCAGCATTCAATAAAATCTCTTTGCTTACATTCTCATTTTCATTTTGTTTTGGTTTCGGATGTCCATTTAGGTATTTATTTTCCACTTTATATCCGGATATTATTAATTGTTATTTTTTATTTGTCATATTTTGGACGTTTACTTCTACATTATTAGGGTTGTTTACACACGAGGAGCCCGCGTGAAATTGATTCAAAAGTCCTTTCTTCGAACAATATTTACATTGATTTATTGGGTATGATGTATTTTGGGTTTTGTCGCATTCGGGGTTACATTTTTATTTTAAGGACAAGCCGGGGCTTTATATCCTGGTGCATTACACTTAAAGCACTTAATGTCATATTTTGGGTTTTCTATTTTCTTCATATAAGGTCCCTTATTATGTTGAAATTTATTTTTATCTAAGTCACTTTTAATTTTTTCATAAATTTTAAGTTTTTGTTTAAATTCAAAAAGATTATTGGCTCCATAAAGAATTGTTTTTCTATTTGTTTGGTTTGGTGATTAGAGCTAAGTCATCAATATCACTTTGAGTGGCTATTTCTTTCATTTTTAGGAAATATTCTTGAAGAGTTTCATTATACCTTTGTTTTCTTTTTTGCAACATTGCATGTACTTCTGCAGTATTGCAATTAAGTCCAAATTCTTCAAGAAAGAGATTTTTTAATTTTTCAAATGAATTTAAACAAGTTTTACTTCTAATTAATGTTAATGCCTTACCCTTTAAGCATGTTTTTGCAAATAAAAATTTTTGCATATCAGAAAGCTTAAATAAATTCGCATGAGTTTCAAAATTTTCAAACCAAGAAATAATATTTTCATGTTTATCTCCTTTAAATATAGGAGTAACTGCTTCAATATTAGAAAAATTTACTATTAATTTGGTTTCTGGTTCTCTATTATTTACATCATTATTAGAACTTAGATTATAGGATACCATATCTTTATCAATACAACTTTTAGTACAGATAGAACTTAAATTAACTTGTGTAAATTGATTTACACAAGTTTTAATTGGTAAATGTGGTTCAAAATCAGTTTGAGTTTGTTTACATTCAAACTAACTAATTTCATCTTCATACCCAGAGGGATTTTCCATTACTATAAAATTTTTAAAATATTAAAATCACATATACAAGTTGAAATATGTTGTGAAATTTCATTTTTATTTCCCTCGCTGTAAATATTTAGAGTGTCTGTAATTTTGATTAATTCTGAAAAATCAAAAGTATGACAAATTTTCTCAGTTTGTTTAAAAATTCTTCATCGTTAAATTCAAATGAAAATTCTGAAAAATTTAGTATTTTAGTACGATTTAATCGTGATAAATCATTAGGAAATAAAAGTTTAAATAATAACTTAATTTTATTTGCCATCACTAATTTAATACACGTTTGAATCACATTTATTTCTTTCAAAAACATTTTAAATGCACTATAAAGACAATATTATATCATAATGTTTTAAAAAAGTAATATAATTTCAAGAAATGCAATCTAACCCTTAAAAATATATCTCTATTCAATTATTCATCATAAGAAATTTAGGTCACTTGACCTACGTAATCATAAAATTATCACTACTAATTATGAAGGAAAAAAATACAGGCAGATGACATTTCTTTTATGTTCCTTTTTCACCTCACATGTTATATTTGTTGAAAAAAATTTTTTAAACTCTCACGTACTTCACTTTACAAGCAGGTATTTTTAAGAACACCAAGAAGCAAATTGTTGTAGGCCTTTTCACACTGGAGTTTTAACAAACTCACATATTTTGGGATTTTCACACACGCATGGTAATTTCACTAATTCATTCTTGAACAGTAAGAACTGTAGGGTTATCTCTATGGATGGGACACACATCAAATGGTTTCAGGTGTGACAAACTCCAGCCAACGTCTCTTCTGATTACGCCGAGGTACAGGTAGTTGTTGATGGAATCCTTCCTTTCCTTCTACGCCGATAAGGCAACTTTTTCCCCGATGTGTGATGGGATGGGGAATTCCGAAGCCACAGCCAGCATCCGTTAAGCTTAGTTCCTAAGAGATAGAAATGCGTAAGTTTCCTCCGCGATGCCAATCCTGCTAGGCTTCTAATAACAGGGCTACATCCCTGTTATAATTGGTTACGTTTAGCTCAAATAATTCTGTAGTGAGTCAAAATACGTTTTCAATAGTTTTATTTAAAGGTAGGCGGTAATAGCTCACACCCATTTCTCCACACTGGAGGGAGTTGACAGCACTCTTGGACTATTCCGGTACTTCTTACATGGAACACATCATGCAGCAAGAGTCACCCAAAAACAATTGTTCCTGCATTATGTACAAATAGAAAAGGAGGTGAAAAGGCTCAATCGTCACATACCTTGTATGCCTACGCATTAAGAAAAATCATTTAATGCTTCCTAATATGGAAGTGAAAGAGGGCAGGATTTTAAAAATAACCCCTTTGAAATAAAAATCTATTTATTATTCATTGGTATGTTTTCAGCCTTGAAGTCCCAAAAATAGAATATCTCTACATCTATTCTTTACCAAAGACATTTTATGAAAAGAGTTTTAATGTTTTTATTAATACAAAAGTATTTATAATTTTTGTGATACATCCCTCCCCCCCCAAAAAAAAAATTTGGTAAGCCAAAATAAAATAAATTTGGAGTACTTTAAATTTTTTAAATTTAGGTCGGTACGACTGTTCCTTTTCCCTACTACAAATAACATTTTTTCAATTATGTATAAAAAAAAACAATTATTTACAATGATAAAAATAACAACGTGATAATGCAATTCAGTCAACAAGACAGAATGAAGAATAAAACATATTTATATAACTAGTCTACTAAAATTTTCAAAAATTTTTTCACACAAAAATCTACACTCTTTTTATGCGAACGAACTGGACAACAAGTGTCATTTAATCAGAATTTAAGATTCTGTGTGGTTGAAGGGGTTATTTACTTGATGAAAATCTGTATTCCTCGAAAAAATGGAGGAAAACGGAATTTCATGAAGCACAGTGATATTTTATATTTTATTTTATAACCGTTGTTGAACAGCTGACCCAATTTCATGGGTTTACGACTACTTACGTTCAACTCCGTAGCCTTGTAATTTTGAACCAATCCAGAAGACAAGGAAACTCATGGATCAGTACCCCCAGAGGTATTGATTTGTTGTGGGAACATGGAGGACTTTGAGACTCGACAGATTTAACGTGCATCAGTCACCATTTACTACACGGGGAGTCTTCGGCCGGCGAGGATCGAACCCACGACCTCTTGGATATGGGCCCAGCGCCCTACCGACCAGGCTATCCCGGCCCCAAAAAGNCTTTTTAATGATAAAAGAGGTAAATATTTCATGATAGTAAATAAAGGTTGCGTTTTCTTAATGTTAAAAGAGGGGAATCTTTCTTGATAGTAAATTAAGGATGTGCCTTCTTTCTGATAAAAGATGCAGAAATTTCATCGCTTCCCAATGAGGTTATTTTTAAAATAGAACACTTAGAGAACTGCCGAGAGAAACAATTGTAATTGAAATATTTAAATAGATTTTGAAATTAGGAAATTATATATATCCATATCCATATATATATATATATATATACGATTTAGACCATGCATTTAGCCTGAGCTTATGTAAAAGTATACGTAGTATATAGCTTAGTATAATGCATGTTATTTTGTTATTTAGAGCAGTGGTTTCCAAATTGAGTTCAATGGAACCCTGGAGTTCAGTGAAAGGGCCATAGGTATAGTGAGAGTTAAAGTTCTTTTATCTAGTTAGAATTTTCGAAGCCTGTAATTAAAGTTATTAAATATCCACTCAATAATCCATTATTTTAATCAAATCACTCAATTTTTAATTGGAATGCTTGTAAGAAAAGAAATTTCAAAATAAGGATATGCATTTGTGAAAAATTCCATTAGTATTTTGCATCGAATAAAAATAATCAAATTAAAAAAAATCAATGAAAATGTACGTTTTTCTGATAACCATTTCTCAACGTTTATTTATTTTCTTTTTTGTTTTTATTTTAATTGGAGCCATATTTCAGCTCATTCATTTTCAATTTATACATGCATTAAAAAACATTGAAAGAACTAGACTGGGAGCTGCTCCACACCTATGAATTCAACTGTCTGACGTAAAACCCAATTTCAAGATAAAAATTGATAAAACGGTATATGATGAAAAAAATTTCATTCATTTATTCACTAAATATTTTCAATATAAATAATAAAATTTAGATCAATACATATTTTAAAAATAGTTAATTGTTTCAATTATAAATATATTCGCAGCTTTACAACTGCGGTTATATAGATAGATAGATATGCATAGGTATAGATAGACAGATAGGAAAAATTTCTTTTCCTTTTTTAAATGATTTATTACAATTTTCAGTAAATTTATTATGATATATTTACAGAGATACTATCATGATAGTTAAGTTTGAATTTTTTATTACATTTTGACAACATAGTATTGTTTTGACACGAAAAAAAAGGCAGTTTCTAAATGAAACTTATGTAGCTGTCTAGAAAATGTTAATATTCTTTTTCATTTTTTCCTTCGTCTTAGGTGTAGAAGGTACTAGTGCTCCCCCCGAAGCGTGTGGGAGCTGTGCTGCAATCGGTATAAAAATCCACAATTGGTGCAAAAAGAACTTCTCGCCGAGTGAGTGAAAAAATTTTCGAAAGACATTAGGGAATAGCTTTTTATAAACTTCCTACCTTTAAAAATAAAGTGACATTAAAACATTTTCCCGATAACGACTTTTTCGCTAAATATTCGATTAACTGATGATGTTGGGTATCTGAAATGGAAAATTTATCAAAAAGTGGGAAAAGTTGGAATATATTTTGGGAATGATGGATCTTTAATGATGAGTGATTTTAAAATAGAAAACCAGTATGGTTATTCAAAATTTGTTATGCTGCGGATTCAAAATAGTGAAAGCAGGTGAGGGTATCTGATAACTGACGGAAAGTTACTTATTACCTAAACTGGGTATCTATCAAGAGTTGAATGAATTTCAGGGTTAGTGCCATGCCCATCGGGAAATTTTATACAAATATTCAATATTTCTACACCAAACGGTATATTATTTTTGGACAATACCTTGTGTGTTTACGCAAATATTGGATCTATTATTTTTTTAGTATATGTATGCAATCCGAAACAATGAACACGTCCGAAGAGTATAAATACAAAAATATCATACATTTTTATTTCACCAGAGCTATTTGACTTATTTTAGTAAAATTTTGAACTTCATAAATCAAAATGATGATTACAAATCAAAATAACTCTCATGCTTTGAATTTTTTTTAAAAAATTATTTTTATTAAGGGAAAATAATGAATAATAATCAAATTTGATTTGTTGTATCAAATTAATTTTGAGTAATTTTTTTTATAAATTATGTGCGAATATCTTTTGATTAGCGTATCTTGTTCTAAAAATGCAAAATCCAAAAATAACATGAAGCTTTTCTTATGGATAAGGAACTATTGTCACATCATTTATCCTCCAATTTTGAAAGACCAAAATCTAAACAAAAGGTGTATTTTAATAATTGTTGTCCCTATTAACTTAACTAAATCATAAAACTATCCTATCATATCCTATAATCATAAAACATCTCATGAGAACCATTAAGATTGCTCTTAATATTTTAAAAAAATCAATAATTACTACAGTTATTATTTTCAATAATTTAACTGGCTCCTTTCGTAATCATAAAAATAAAAGATGAAACACCTTAATAATTTCGTATCTAATAATTTGCTAATTACGTTGGCTTTAAAGCTACTAATTGCATAGGTACAAAAAGGTACATAGCAGCCGATATTTTTATCTGCGAAATCAGACTTTTTAAGCAAGCTTTTTTGCTTAGAGGGTTCAGACTTTGGACTCTCAAAATAAGATTCTGGTAAATAGTATCGTCTCAATCCAGAAGAAAGAGGCAAATTTCAATTTTTATGTATTTCGCCATATCTTTGCAACTATTTTATAGAATTTATAAATGCAATTGTTAAACTTAATTATCTGAAGAAAACACTAAATATAATTAAAAAAATATTTATCATTTCATTTAATAAAAGTCGAAAGTTTCTTTGAATAATATGATTTCTGCATTTTTTTAATTCATTTTAAGCGCCAAAATTTGAGAGAAACGTTTGAGTTCTACAAATGCATTCAAAAATTTTTAGATTGACTTAAATACTTCCAAGAAAGGGCAAACTGGGCAAAAATTGAAATGAACATGGGAGGTCTCATACTTTTGATTCCTCATATTACTCACACTTTTGAAAATTTATTTTTAAGATTGAGGCTTATTTTGATAATTGAGATAGGTTGTCATAAACAACACTTTTTTTTAACGTTTGATTTCATTAAGTAATAATTCGAACGTTTCAGTGGTTTTCGGAAATACTTAAGTCACAAAATTATGTGTTTTTTTAACAAAAAAAAAAATTTTAAAATGTCTATGCCCAACTATTTATAATTTTTTTACATTTATATTGTAACAAATAATTATCTGCTAAATCTCTTTTTTTTTGTACCAAATTACTTTGGGGTAAACAAGTTTCTGTGAATGCCTTTGAACTCGGATCATTAATTATCGGTTATTATTAAATAAAATTTTCGATTTATCCTGTTTAATACATTTGTTGCTATGCGCGCATCCAATTTCTGACAAAACCTTTCTTAGCAATCTATCAGATTTGTTATTGACTTCAATGTTAACGCATGTAGGTCAAAATCAGGAAATTTTGCTTCTGGACAGTGGCCAGCGATTGCTTTTCAAAGATTGAAAATTATAGACAATAGAAAAAACTGTTGATATTAAAAATGTGAAACATTTCATTTCTAAAAATATGATAATCAGTAGAAAATCTAAAATGAAGAAAAATCGACAAAAATACATTTTTTAATCGCCATTTATGATATTATGCCCCACTGTCCTATATTAACATATCCTCCCTCTACCTTTTATGCGGTTTTAAATAATACTTTCCAACCTGGTAATGGCAACATAGTCTATCTTTCATCGTTATTATATTATGTTTCGTTATACTTTGTATGTTTTATTTTTTGTATTATTGTTCCAGGGTCAGATTTAACTAAACCTCAATTTTCTATTCAATTGTATTAATATATTTTTGTTTTGGAAAAGAAGTGAGCATGAAAAAAAAGTTACACCAATTCATAATGTCTTGATTCAAAGTATTTATAAACTTGTTTCTTTCTTTCAACTCTTATTTTTCTGAGCTCTTGAATTATGTTATCTTAGAGTTTCTATATTCCTTTCGGCTTCTTGATTAAAAGAGCGAATAAAAGTTTGGTTCCCTTAATGTTAATTTCACTTTTTGCATTTTTGGTCATATCTTTAAAACTAATGGCGAAATTCTTAAAAAAATGCACTCGTTCATAAAACTCAGTTACCCAAAGGTAATTTCTTGCAAAACGTAATTTTTAACAATTGTTTATTATATTTTATTACTTAATTTCATTCTGAATGAGAAAATTTTTTTTAATGTGAGCCATGAATTTTTTTTATACCATATTAATCTACGTATTTTTCATAATGAAATCTAAAGTTTCAAAGATTTTCCTTAGTGAAAGCTGAAAAAATTAAAATTTATTATTTTAAAAAAAAATTATTTGGAGATAAGGAAAAAATATTTAAATGGGGTGATTAATGCCTAAATTTGGTGCGAATAGGTAAATTTGGGGGCGATTAATGCCTACAAAGAATTTAACTTTCGCAAGCCTAAGGTATATTTCATTCATGTTTTTTTGTTTGTTTCAATTCGATATCTTTTTTTAATGTTAAAATACTATGTTTCTTCTTGAGTCGTCTGCTGATTTATAATAAATTTAGCAAAGAGATTTGAATAAAATATTATATTTAACGAAAGTCAAGTTTTATAATAACTTGTTTTTGATTAAATGTGGTTATTTATCTTTTTTTCTTCTAATTTTAGTTTTTAATTTATTCATTCTTTCATTGATTAAATTTCAGTAATGAACGTAGGTATGCATTTGATAGGAATAATATATTTACTAATTATTCTATATATGTTTTGATATCTGGACAATAAAAACATAAACTAAGATATTAGTAATGTAAAAGGGATCTTTATATCGTATTGAACCAAATTCTTATGACATCAACAACTATTATCTGAGCAATGATTATCTGATGTTTTAAAAGTCACTACAAAGAGTATAAAAATGCCGAACATAAAAAGAGCTACCGAATACGTAGCTGAAATTTTTAAGCTCCTTAAAATATCTCAGTTTCTTATATATCGTCCTAATATCCTAATTTTAAAATTCAATTTTTTTTACGGTTATTTTTTTTTTTGTTTCTTATTTGTTCGATTTGTGAAAAGTAAATACATATTAGTGCAAGTTCAAAACCCACAACTGTTTGCCTTGTTTTTTTTAAATGAACAAATTTAAACCACGATTTTATTTTGACGTTTAAACTTATGTATTACATCGTTAACTTTAAGAAAGCTACTCCTTTTTAATTTTAGCACAATTCACGAGATAGTTTATAGTATATTATTTTAGTATGGTGGTATATATATATATATATATATATTCGCTACTCTTCNTATATATATATATTGCTGATGCGGGATAACAAGGGGGGTTATTTATCCATGAATCTTCCCTTCTAATTTCGGTGGACTGTATTATCGCTGGAAAGACCTAAAGTTAGTTATTTTCTAAATCTGGTAAATGCTAGCATTAGAATAGACAAGAGAGAGAGCACCATTACAACCTTGTGACAGCATGTTTATTGCTACTCTGAGTGTTACAAAAACGTTACTGTAGATGGCGCTGGAGTAAAGATACAACATACTCCCCGCGTTGAAATACAGTACTGTATTTCAAATATATAAGCAATGAAATAATATCAAATATAAGCATATGCAAAAACAAACAATTGGGAAATGACATCACTTTTTTTAAAAAAAAAATAGAAAGTAAAAATAGATATACATATATAAATTTAACACACAATGAAATGACTTAATCAAACTTCAACTGGTACTGGTAAAATGGCTAGCTTAGTGATAGGACGTTTGAAAATACCACGTTTGGTTTTCACACTGCAAACTCTAACACATTTGTCTTTTCCTGGAAACAATTCGACAACAACTCCCATGAGCCATTGATTAATGGGCAAATTATCGTCTTTTACTATAACTACAGTAGCAATAGAAATGTTATCCTTTTCAAAGAGCCATTTCGATCGCTGTTGTAACTGGCACAAATAATTATTTGACCATTTTTTCCAAATTGCTTGGGTAATTTTTGTAGTCAATTGCCACCTACTTAACCTATTATCTGAAAGATCAATTAATTCTGGTTCAGGAATGCTTTTTATAGATCTTCCTATTAAAAAATGAGCTGGTGTTAAAACATCCAGATCATCAGCATCACTTGAAAGTGGCATTAAAGGCCTTGAATTTAAAATACCTTCGATTTGATTAATAATAGTAAGAAATTCTTCGTATTTTAAAGTTAAAGTACCTATTGTTCGTTTCAAGTGAAATTTAAATGATTTTACACCACTTTCCCATATTCCGCCAAATTTGGACTTCTAGGGGGAATAAACTGCCAATTAATTCTCTCAGAAACAAGAAATTTTG